TAACTATTAATCAGCAATACATCCGAATGATTGACACATGGATGGTTCTAAATGATATACACCCAATTGAAAAAAGGCACGGGAAAGGAAATATTCTAAGCCAACATTGTTTTAGTACTAAAAGTTTGCATGCATGAAACAAAAAGATCTTGTTTACGACTAATGGTCAAATGTTTAGACAAATATGGTTCGGATCCCTGGATACCTAATATCCCTTACCGCCTTAGCTTTTAGGATGACCTTTCCGCGACCGACAGCGTTGTTTTAGCTAGTATTCAACAGCATGGATACACAGTCATTTACTCCACACAGTTCTTTTAATATTTACATTAGTGTATCGAAATATTGACATTGTTGTATTAATTCTGGCCGTCATATTACTCTTCCACGTGGAACATGCTTTTTCGGATTAGGAAAAAAAAAGCATTTACAACGCCGTAGCCAGAAAATTGTTAACCGAGGCAGTTTACGCGACCGGCAGAAGAGATCGTATCTATGGGGTTCCAGGACATGCTTCCCCGAAACATTTTGAAATTCAGACACTCGGAAACCTGACTGATTTAATTACAGCGTTTGGCCAAGCATATTGTGTCTATTTTATCTTACACCACTGAGCGAACTTTTTTATTTTGGATACGAATTAAAGAAAACTCGATAAAATTTTACCTTTTTACCGCTTGCCTGATCGTAGCTACAGCGCTGATTTAGTTACAGCAGAAACCGTTGCATCGCGACTTCAATGTTCAAAGGAAATCGTTGGGATTTAGGTTTTTCTGCAACTTGGGGGCGGAGCCTGATACAAATCAGCCAATGACTGAACGAGTTTATGAAAAGCTCCGCCCCTTAGATCGAAGGAAAGAACAAAATCCAGACAAACTTCAAAACAAAGAAGTTGCAATGCAACGATTTCCGCTGTAAATCGCTTTTTTTCCATTTTTTTTTCCATCAAATTATGTGTCCATGCTTATCATTGCTTCGATGACCTTTGTCTTTTCACCAGAAATTTTCCTAGCTACATTTGGCTAAGAATAATTTTAAAGACAAGACTACTGTTGAAGCTAAAATTTGGATTAGAATAATTCTACTTTGCGTAACTACAATTTGCTTCATCAGCTTTAATTTAATTATTGTAATTTCATGATCAAAACAAAAAATGATGTTGAGAAAACTGCTCGAAAGCTTGGCTTAATCATTAAGAAACGACTGATGAATCAGAACATGGTATGCTCATTGCAGCTTAGCTAAGAACCCCGGCTATATTAAAGATACTATCTGATAGTTCTGAATAAGGAAACATATTAATGTGTGTTGTTGACAGTTTTTATATATTACGTTTATTTTTCTCTTCGTTTGATACCTATACAAACATTCTTCTTTTATGAGAATACTTACCAAATTGAGCACAGTTTTCAGCTGCCCACTTATTGACATAAAACTACGTTATGAATTTTCAAAACTCACAAGTGTTCAGCATTTCAGTGTGAGATCAGGTTAATAAGAATATTGAATAAGAATCTTAATAATAAGAAGAATAATTGGGATTCTTAATAAGCTGATTGTAGTTGAACATTTTACGAACTAAAATGTGTCAGTATCCAGCAGTCTTCTTCTTTCATACTAGCTACTGCGTTATATCAGAAATATATATCATGTAATTTGCATTTGAACGTCAGGCCGGAAAGTTGACAGGTAGCCGAGGAGATGAGAAAATGATTGTCTGTTTTTATTCACATTAAAGCAATAGGACAGAGTTTTTAGATATCTTTACATACAAGAAAACGTATGGTTTTATTTATGCCGCCGGCGCGCGATCTTGAGCAAACTTGCTGAAAGAAAATTTGCATGTTTATGTACTTGCAGAAAAACTTAGTTGCCATTACTGTCAATTCTGAGACATTATATAGTCGACAGATCTTTTATGATTTCATTATATATTCGACTTATTTAAGCCAACAACATAAAGCCATGCAATCTCAGATCTTGTATAGGAAACCTGGCTGAAACCGGCCACTAGATCTTTACCACTCTCCACCAAATAGTGTGCTTCCAGATTAATCGATACACTTGTACAATAGTTATCTTCCGAGTTTTGAATTTTTTTAAACATGAGCAATTGTACAGCATCGAATATCGAATTTAAACTAAGAATTGGAACAACGTTTGCCGTCTTGTCGATTGTTGTCAACGCTTGTAGCTCCATCGTGGCTTGTGTCTTGAACTTCTTGATCATTTTGACTTTTGTGAAGACACCATCAATGCGAACACCTTCGTATATTCTCATTCTTTGTTTAGCCATCGCGGACTTCGGGGTTGGTGCTGTGGTGCAGCCGGTTTATTGTGCTGAATTGTTTGCCAAAATGAAAGGCTACGAATCAGTTACTTGTACGACTTCGTACATAAGAATTTGTAGTTCGTGGGTATTAGGGGCTTCATCTTTGTTGACAATAACCGCCATCACCATAGACCGGTTCCTTGTTCTTCACCTGCATCTAAGATATCAGGAACTTGTTACTGCAAAGCGCTCGTATACAGCCGCCATCGTTATTGCTATTTTAAGTATTTTTGGCATTCTTCCTGGATTGTTTTACGTTGCCGCAATGATCGCTGGGTGTTGCTTTAGTGTCCTTTTTTTGTTAAATATAGTTCTGATGGCAAAAATTTCTCGAGAGGTTAGTAAACATTCTGCAAACATTCATTCACAAGAGCAAGCAGTACGAGAAAGCTTGAACCTTCCACGATACAAGAAGACTGTCAACACAGTGCACTATATCATGGGGACATTCTCAGCTTGTTACATTCCAGTTCCTATTGTTGCTAGTCTTATTGTCGCAAACTCCAAAGTACCGGAATCTTCATTGGATGCTGCATTCATTTTAACCAGCACACTCTGGTTGATAAACAGTGCATTGAATCCAGTCATCTACTTCTGGAGAATACAAGACATGCGAAATGCTGCCGTGCAGCTGTTTCGGAACATTCGATGCCTACACTATGAGCCTTAAAAATGCTTCGAGATCGATTATTGTTACGCTGCCAGTTTAAATTTACAAAAAACTACTAGTGCTTCTTTTTTCCTTTTTTTATTTTCCTTTTTTTTTGCAGAGAGTTCTTGGCAGTACAAAAAGATCGAGGTCTGAGATTTTAGTGTTTGTCAACTGTGTCAATTCAGAGTTTTTTTAACTCCTAATTTCCTAGAGTCAGTTTTTAAAAAATAAGTTATGATATTTTGATATTATTATATTTTCAGTGATTCTTTTATCTCCGTCTGCGTGGATAGAAATTGTTTTGTTTTTCGTTCAATATAAAATTCCAACCCTTCTAAATTTTTCCTGTAACTGCATGAGCTTAATGGTCTGACATGTTGGCTTATTCAATATACAAACCGATGGAACAGAACAGTCTTATAATACTGAATAAAGAAAATGTATTAATGTGACATCCGTGATGACAGCGTTTATATCTTACGTTATTTTTATCTTCCTCGGCTACCTATACAAACACTCGTTTTAAAAATTTATCTTCCATCTTTTATGATAAGAATACTTAACAAATTGAGCACAGTTTTCAGCTGCTAACTTATTGACATATCACTACGTTATGAATTTTCAAAACTCACTTACAAGTGTCAGGTTTATAGTAGGAAAGAGATCAGGTTAATAAGAAATCACACTAATAGCCTGTGCAAATTATTTTTTTTAAGCTGACCTTATATTTGAAAAATTTACGAAATGAAATGTGCGAGTAGTGCACAGTCCTTTTCTTTCTGTCTATAAAATAAAAAGATTTGAGAAAGTTGAATTTTTTTTTTTTGCAGAATAAGGTCTCTCGGACTAACAGCTCTTAGTATTACCATACTAGTGGACTATTCTATTCTGATTGGCTACGCTACTTGGGGTCTATTTTCAATAGTCCTCATGAGTGTTCTAATTGTTAACTATAATAACTTAATGATGAGAGATAAATAGTTTATATTCTCCACTATAGTCTTTGAGAAGGAGTCTTAAGATCGGCCACTAGTTTGCAAGTCCTAAGTATTCATCCGACACCATAATAGCAGATAACGCTTCTTCAGTATGTGGGAGAACTTGAAGAAGTTTCTGTCAACTAGCGCCAATATATGTTGACACTAAAATCAAGCGATAAAGCATTAAGTTGTGTACATATAAGATATTGATGTATCACGTTTTAGCCGAAAAAATAAAAATCTTCCGAATAAGACTTATTGGGAAAATACTACATAGTAGGCAAGGGAGATCAAGGGCTTTCGATCACGGGAGAGAAGGTTGAAGAGAACTATACTGTATGATTATATCAGGACGAGGGTAACGGTATTGTGGACATTCTGGACGCAATAATTGATACTAGGCGAGTTATTTTATCAGAAAAATCATGTAATTTGCATTTCGACAGGACCTGTATGCCCAGGTGGATCAAGGTATACAGGTAGCCGAGATGAGAATTGTTTGTTCTTATTCACATTAAAGACAGTATAGGACAGCGTTTTTTATGTCTTCACATACAAGAATAGCTATGGTTTTATTTACGTTTTTTAAGCGGTCGTTGATCTTCAGCCACATTGGTGAAAGAAAATTCGCATGTCACCTACATTTGCAGAAACACTTAGCTGTCATTACTGTCAGTTTTGAGACATTATATACTGGACAGATCTTTTATTATTTGAGTACATTCGAGCTAAATAAGTACACTTATTTGAAAATGAACAATTTTTAAGCCGACAACATCAAACAAGACAAGATCTCAGATCTTGAGGAAACTTAACTGGAACCGGCCAGGCCCACTAGATCTTTACCACTCTCCACCAAAATAGTATGCTACCAGATCAATCTTTACTTGTATATTAGTTATCTTAAGATTTTTTATTTTTTAAACATGAACAATTCTACAGCACCGAGCATTGAGTTTCCACGAAGTCTTGGAACAACGTTTGCCGTCTCGTTGATTGTTGTCAACACTTGTAGCTCCATCGTGGCTTTTGTCTTGAACTTCATGATCATTTTGACTGTTTTGAAGACGCCATCGATGCGAACACCTTCGTATATTCTTATTCTGTGTTTAGCCATCGCTGACTTTGGTGTTGGCGCTGTGATGCAGCCGGTATATTGTGTTGAATTGTTTTCTAGAATGAAAGGCTATGAATCATTTACTTGTACGACGTCGCACATAAGAAAAGGTAGTTCATGGGTGTTAACGGCTTCATCTTTGTTGACGATTACTGCCATCACCATCGACCGGTTCCTTGTTCTTCACTTGCATCTAAGATATCAAGAACTTGTTACTGCAAAGCGGTCGTATCTTGTTGTCATCGTTATTGCTATTTTAAGCACTTTCGCCATTTTTTCTGTATGGTTTCGCGTTGCTAAAATGATCACTGGGTGTTGCTTCAGTGTCCTCTTTTTGATAATTCTAGGTCTGATGGAAAAAACTTCTCGAGCTGTTAATAAACATTCTGCAAACAGCCATGCACAAGAGCATCAGTTCGAGAAAGCTTGAACCTTCCACGATACAAGAAGACTGTGAAAACAATGCACTACATCATGGGGACATTTTCAGCTTGTTTCTTTCCAGTAAACGTTGCTTATATCCTTCATGCCGCAAACTCCGAAGTACCGGAATCTTCATTGCATATTGCAATCTTTCTAACCAACACACTCTGGTTGATAAACAGTGCATTGAATCCAGTCATCTACTTCTGGAGAATACAAGACATGCGGAATGCTGGTGTGAAGCTGTTTCGGAACACTTGGTGCCTGCACCATGAGGCTTAAAAGGCACATAAACATATATGCCTCGGACTCAATTATTATTACGCTGCAAGTTTAAATTGAACAGCTATACTATTTGTTCTCTTTCTTTTCTAGGTTTCCTTTTTTCATTCTTTTTTTGTGTCTTGACAGTACAAAAAGGCTGAGATTTGAGTTTTTAGTAGTCAATTGTCAATTAAGATTTTTGGCTCCTAGTTTCCTAGAGTTAGTTTATATTCATATTGTCCGTAATTCTTTTATACTTTTCAGCATGAAATTCCCTCAACATAGAACTCCAATTCTTCTTACTTTTTGATGTAAATGAGTTTAACGAGGGATTATCTGACAGCTTGGCTTTTTCACTAATGGATGGAACCGAAAGTTTTATGAATCTTACTTTAAGAATGTAACGCACGCAGAGATACTGTCTGACAGTACTGAATAAGGAAGCCGTATTCATGTGACATCATTGATGGTAGTGTTTAGATCATCATTTTCGGCCAACTATACGTATTAAAAAAATATCTTTGCATCTTTTATGATAAGAATACTTAACAAATTGAGCACAGTTTTCGGGCTGCCAACGTATTGACATATCATGCACTACGCTATGAATTTTAAAAATTCATGATCACTGCCACGTTTTAGAGCATTTTTTTGATCGAGGAGAACGGCGGACACGGCAATTTTCTATGGTATATTGCACGACCGAAAGGGACTAAKGTTACMCTGTTTTGACAAACAAAATTTCATTTACTRGGTTCAACTTGATTAGACTGRCTGAAACCRRTTCTCACCAMAGACTWTCTTACARTATAAAACAKTTGTTATTTCACATCACTTGGCAAAACCCTTGGCTACTTCGGGTCGTGCAATCCCCGTTCGACAATTTGCATTCGCCATTTTATCTAACAAACGTTTTTGAAATAGGTAGATGTACACARCCCTCTGCACTTTTTCTTTCTTTGTCAGTTGAACTTTTTTTGAATTAAAGTTACTATATTTTTAAGCAATGAAAGCTAAAAAAATATTAAAATTAGAAACAAATGCCACAAATACAAAAAATATCCGTGGTTACTTGATTGA